CTTCAGTGACGACATGAAAGAAGCCAAGAGGTGGAGATGAGAAGAAGTGTTCCAGGTACGGGAAGAGCTAACAAAAAACACCTGGAGTTGGGAGATGGAGTATCTTAAGTTACAAAGGACTGTGAATGCCACGTGGACACAGCTATAGCTTTCAAGACGTCCTACCTTTGGATGATTAAAGCTATTTGGCTTTGGGAAAAGTGGTGAAAATATTTGAGCGCAAGTAGTAAAGTTGCATATATAAATGTATGTCTACACATACACAGATACTTGACTCTTTTTGAGGCAATCAGGGTTGACTTGCCCAGTCACACAGCTGGTGTCTGAAATTGAATTTGAACTCGGGTCTTTCTGACTCCAGGGCCGGTGCTCTATCTCCTGTGCCACCTAGCTGCAGATATTTTATAATGTTCCACTGTTGTTCTTGAAACTATTTCAGAAAATTCTCTGAAGCACCAAAATGGGAAAACAAAATGACGTTAGAATAACACATAACTTAATTTTAACAATCTTCAACAATGCTGAAACTTCTTTAAAAAGCTTTTTTTTTAAAAAAAAATCTCTATCATTAATATGAATTTCTGGAGACTTTAACACACTGTAAGAAAATGTCATTGTTTTCAACTTTTTTGCCCCCTAAACTACCGATAAAGTATTCTGTAGGTATTTCATTGCAGCACCCAATTTTGACACTGGTGTACATGAATTACTCCCCACTAAGAATCTTAATGAACTTCACATTAATGTGTCATATATACAGAAACTTACTGCTGGTGGATTCATAGATAGGTTACTATTCAAATGGTGTTTTCATTTCATTGTTATTATTGTGACACAATTAGCCTTTTTTTTTTTTAAAGGCAACTGGGGTTAAGTGACTTGCCCAGGGTCACACAGCTAGTGTCAAGTGTTTGTAGGCCACATTTGAACTCAGGTCCTCCTGACTTCAGGGCCGGTGCTTTATCCACCACCCAACTGCCCCTGATTAGTCTTCTCTTGCACTAGAAGTCTAGATCTGTGTCTAGAAATGCAATGATCTTTTAAAAGGTATACATTTTGTTTTTGTACTGAGAACCGTTACATAATTGTACTGTAAAGAGAAACTACCCATTTGGGACCGTCTTGCATTCTGTAAACTCCAAAGACATCTATGATGATGTTTGGCCTTAAAGCACCTGTAAAAATACAACTGGAAACATGGAGAGGAAATTTCAGGAGAAGAGAACAGTGAGCAAAGAGCATGGATACATGAACTGGGAAAACTTAAATGCCAAGAGTCAAAAAATCAGCCGTAGTGGAGAACCGTGGGAGTAGTTTCAGGGATAGGTGGCAGAACAAAAGAGCTCTCCAGGACTACTGAAATAGTAACATAACTGAGGATGTCATCTGCCTATCATGGAAACTGAACTGGAAGGGTCCTCTACCCAAGTGAACCCCAACGGTAACATGCCTTTGCTTGAAGACTTCTGGGGGTGGGGCTGCCACCTCCCAAAGGAGCCCTAATTATTTCCTGTCATTGAACCTGAATTAGCTGTTCTAAGCCCTTCGGACTCTAAGCTATGCTGGCCCATCACTACCTGGGTTCAAAGAGAACAATTCAGGAAGTAACTACACAAGACCAAGTTGCTGCATGAAGTATGGTTTATTGCAGGCAGGACTAGGTATCAACCAGCAGTTCCAGCAACAGTGAATGAAGCTCCCTGCAGGTACTGGAGCAGCACCTGAGGCATGACTAGCCCCACTGATAATGCCAAGCAGAAACATGGTCCAGCAGCCTGATTAATCTCCAAGCACACAGTGACTCAAGACCCCTCTGCTTCCACACCCACTAATGAGATGGATGGGATGGATAGACAATATTGACAAAGGTGAGTCTCTCTGTTCTGAATCTAGTTTCCACGGGTTCCAAGAGTACAGGGAACCTGGATTCTGAGCTCTGTGGCTGGCCTTGCACAGGACAGCTGCAGAAAGACACAGATCAAGCCAAGTGGCTCACGCTTTCCCTATTTCTGGTAGAGAAGCAAGGACCTAAGAGATTCCTGGGAAATAAACACCGAAGGGGACCATGAGACATGCAATCTGTGTCTACTACACAGAAGGTAAACAGAGTCAGTACTGGGATTGGACAATGACTGCTGTCCTCCATGGGTCACTCCTTGGCATTCCACTTTCATGTCTTACAGCTCAAATAGATCATTAGCACTAAGGCTGCCACTGCCATTTAAACAAAACATAAAGAGAGGAGAAATTACAGCAACTGGCAAGCCCCAATCAGGTCCCACAGGAACATTCTGGTTGCTGCTGCCTCAGTTATCTAAAGGCCTCTGGCAGCCAATCCTAGCACCCTTTAGAAGTAGGCTCTGTGGTCGGGGGAATAAGAAAACTTCATTTTCAGAAGGATCAGGAAGGCGCTGCTAGGAGAAATGCTACTGGCCCAAAGAGCTATGAAAACACACAATGTAATCATGAGCCACAGGAAGAAAAAGAACATCACAGAAATTTGGGATTGGTAGCTATTTCTGAGTTGGTTTTAGAGATCTGCTCCATTCTCCTTCTCCACTTTCTACCACCTCCCAGAGCCCTAAGTGTCTGTATTCTCTTTTCTAGCATATCCCTCCATTTCATATTCAGTTGGGGCACTGCAACCATCTGTTTCTTGACACAAGTTAGAGAAGTGCATAAATATCATAGAGCAGTTGGGAGCCTGCTTTTTTAAGAACCAAAACATTTCCTCTGACAAGAAGGCAACACTCTCATGATGCCACTGAATGACAGACCAGTCTTTTCTGATTTTTCTGAGCCTAAATTCTTTTAATTTTGCTTTGCTCCGGCAAGCCAGAGATCCTGAATTGTCATGCCATTCAATTTATCTTCATATAGGCAGAGGCTATCAGAGGTTTGTGGTTACCTACATTTTGGGTGGGTGGGGAAACGTCCCTTTCAAGTGAGGTAAACAATTAGTTCTGCCAAGAAAACTCCAACCACCATCATCCGTGGGCCACTTCTGCAACTCTTCTCACCGCTACCATAAAGTCCTTACATGGCAGCCAGTATTCAGATGAGCTTCGAAATGTCTTCTCTATGTACTGCTATAAGCAGCCTGCTGCTAAAATCCATTTTGAGTGGGGGGGGTTGGGGTTTGTCACATCAGTAATTTCTAGCACCAAAATGGCTTTCTCTTGCTAGTGAGACTATTGCTAACCCAGTAGTAGGTGGGACAGAATGCCTCATTCCAACGTGAAATAGGGGCATAAGCAAGTCATAAGATGCAACCTGGTCCAATGCATTCTATTCTACACAGTGGGGTTGATGTTTCAATCATTTTCATAAACAGCAAACTATCTATATGAACTTGGTTAAATATATCTCAAGATCAACTTTGCTAGCACCTAGTTGGTCTGAAGCTAGAGCAGAGCATGTGATTAATTAGTAGATGATGCATCCTTTGTCCTTACTCAACTTTTTAGTACAGCTAAAGTCTTCACCACTTTTCTCCTCTTCTGTTTCCAGCCCCATATCTCATTCATAGGATTACAGACTCATAGCTGGAAAGCAACTCCTAGGTTATGTAACCCAAACTCTTCATTACATAAATGAAGAAAATGAGGCACCGACTGGTTCTGGGACTCCCCCCGGTCTCACCGGGAATTACAGAGCGAGAATTCCAGGTCAAGTCCTCTTAATTCTAATCTTACACTCTAAGACATAACCATTAAACCAAAAAAATCAACAGGACATAATAAGAGCTACAGCGAAACAGGAGTACCAAGAGAGAGGAGAGGGAAATAGATCAAAGTCATTACATCAATGAGCAGGATCCTCTAACCATTCACTCTCTCTCTCTCTCTCTCTCTCTCAGAAACCCATGTTGTATAAGTGCCCCAAAGGTCCAGGTATCATCCAATCTGCATTCACGTTTCTAGGAAACAAATCTTGAGGTCCATCATAATTCATCTTTCAGTCCACAGTACAGGAAGGTTCTTCTAGATAGAAATGTCACCAAAGACGTCTGTCAATTGCCAGAGTTCAATTTCAGTGCAGGTGCCAACAAATTTTCCTAAATGGCATCATTACCCCCAATGTTACATTTTTATTATTTTCCAGATATTCCTTGGTGTTCTTGACTTTTTATCTTACAAACGAATTTTGTCTAACTGTAAAAGTATCCCTTAAGTAGCCTGGTATGTCACCAACTTTGAAATTTGGCTATTACTTCACTAGTATTATAGCGGCACAGCCAATTCAAGAACACTGAATTTCTCTGCAATCATCCAGATCTTCTTTCATTCCTGTAAAAAGTCGTGTAGTTCTGTTTTTGTAAGTCCTGTGTGTGTCTTTATAGGTCAATCCCTACTTAGCTGATCTTAAATAGATTTCCTCTTCCAATCTCTTCTCCTGACTTTTATTAACATATGTAAAAGCTGATGAGTTCAATGAATTTCTTTTGTATCCAGCTACTTTACTGAAGTTATTGGTTCTCTTAATTACTAATTTTTTTTTCCATCCAGCCTCTAAGCTTCTCCATGAAAACCATAATATCAATATCTGTTCATAGTGGAGAAAGAAATTTTACAAATGTAATCATTGTGAAAAGGAACATAAATGAAAAAAAAATTAGGATTAAAGGAGGATTGGTACTACCAAATTTCAAAATATATAAAGCAAATATATGAAGGATCCATGTCCATATCAAAGCAGTAATTCTTAAAACAATCTGGTACTGGACAAAACATAGAAAAAGCAGATAACGAGACAGAGTAGATAAGTAAGACTTAGGAATAAATGTACACAGCAGAATTTGGTAAACTAAAAAGTACATAAACTACTGGGAAAGAACTATGTGAAGAGATATGGGGAAAAATGGAAAGCAATATGGTTTAAAACAAAGTTTAGATGGGCATGGTATGTCAAATTTCACAAAAAATTCCCAATGGATATGACCCAAATACAAAAAGTCACATCATTAAAAAAAAAAACCAAAAACCTTAAACTAAACTAAAGGAGAATTGAAGCCTACTTATTTTACAACTATGGAAAGAGGGAAATTATTAATCACTCACAGGATAGGTCACAAAAGAAAAAACACAATTAGGATTATGTAAAGTTTAAAAGTTTTTACATAAATAAAAATGTAGCTAGACTCAAAAGAAAAGATCATGGGTGAAAAGTCTTTGCATTAAATATCTCTAAGAACAGTCTAACATTTAAAACCAAAAGGCAACTGCCATATGTTTATAGGTTAACACTTGTTCCCAAAAGACAAGTGGTCAAAGCATATGAAAACTTTCAAAAGAAATACAAATGCTCAAGTACTTGAAAAAATGTTCAACAGACCTTTGTAATCAGACAAACTGAAATGAAAACTACTTAAAGAATTGCCTTTCATGTATCAAGTTAGAAAAGATGGGGTAACGAACTTATTGTTGGAGAGGTTACAAGAAGGCAAGCATGTTTCATGGAGTTGTCGATGACCTCAACCCCTCCAGAAAATAATGAGGAATTAGTAAGGAAACTTACCAAACTGCTAATACTTCTTTAATCCACAGATTCCACTATTGGAACTATCTTCAAGGAAGATATTGATGGGACCTATCTGAATAAACATGTTCTGAGCTACATCACGTGTGGTAACAAAGGTTGGAAACAAAACATATTCCCGGTGATCAGGGAATGACTGAATAAACTAATATAAAAATACTGCAGAATATTACCGGGCTGCAAGGGATGACAAAGATTAACTGGGAGAAACTTGGGAAGATGTGCTTGAAGAGTGGCAGAGTAAGGAAAGCCAAGTCAAAGCATCGACAGACATAAATGCCTCAATGATGTAAATAAAATCAGCGCTCAGGAAAACAAAAACCCTTGCCAAATACAGTAGTCAATGTTAGTAAAACAATATACAAAATATAAGCACAAATCTCTCCTTTTGTTAACAAGTGAAAAACTTTTGAGAATATATGTTGTAAGGGTATTTAGGTATTTGTCAGGAGAGATCTACTGTGAAAAGATGTATCAATAATTTTTAAAGGAGGAAAAACCCCATTCTATTCATCAGGTTTTTCTCTTTACTAAGAATTGGTGTTGAATAAGGTGTTTGCTCTGGAGCAAGCCTCCCTTAAAGTTTCTCTCAATTATGCAGCCTCTGATGTCTGGTTAGACCAGCACTCAAGCGGAAGCACCTCCCACATTCACTACATTCAAAGGGTTTCTCTCCAGTATGAATTTTCTGATGGCGACTAAGCTGGGCACTCTGACGGAAACACATCCCACATTCATGACATTCATAAGGTTTCTCCCCAGTATGAATTCTCTCATGTTGAATAAGATGCGTCCTCTTGCAAAAAGCCTTTCCACATTCACGACACGCATGAGGTTTTTCTCCTGTATGAATTCTCTGATGGGCAGCAAGGGATGAGTTGTAGTTGAAAGTCTTCCCACATTCATTACATTCATAAGGTTTCTCTCCAGTATGAATTCTCTGGTGGCAAATAAGCTGTGAGTTCTGGTGGAAGGCCTTTCCACATTCATTACACACATATATCTCTCCCGTATGAACTTTCTGATGTCGAGTGAGTTCTGTGCTCTGGCGGAAGGCCTTGCCACATTCATTACATTCATAAGGTTTCTCTCCAGTATGGATTCTCTGATGGGCAGCAAGAGATGCACTGTGGTTGAAGGCCCTTCCACATTCATTACACTCATAAGGTTTCTCCCCAGTATGAATTCTCTGATGGGAAGCGAGGGATGAGCTGTGGTTGAAGGCCCTTCCACACTCACTACATTCATAAGGTTTCTCTCCAGTATGAATTCTTTGATGGCGAGTAAGATGGGCACTCTGTCGAAAAGTCTTCCCACATTCAGTGCATTCATAAGGTTTCTCTCCAGTATGAATTCTCCAATGTTGAGTAAGCTGTGTCCTCTTATAGAAGGCCTTTCCACATTCATCACATTCGTAATGTTTCTCTTTAGTATGAATTTTCTGGTGTTGAGTAAGCTGAGTTCTCCACTGGAAGGCTTTCCCACATTCAAAAGGTTTCTTCTCAGTATTTAGACTATGATAGTCAATAAGGTCTGAATTATAACTGAAGGATTTCCCGCAATCGTTATACTTAGAAAATATCATTTTTGAGCTCCTTCTGCTGGTTTTTTTTTTTTTTTACACTGTATAAATAGACTAGAGTTCTTTCTGTGTATCACATTTGTGGAGATTGCCTCTAAAAGACACTTTGTGCTGTAGACAAAGGACTGGCCCTACACCGAAGATTCTACTTTACTTCTTATCTTCAAATAGGTTTCCTTTGGCTGACTTCCAATTTGGAGACACAGGGAGGTCTGATTCTTTCCCAGGATGGTTCTTCCAGAGAAACGCCAAACTTGAAGTGGACTCCTTGGTTTCCGGTTTAGTCTCCAAATCTGAAAGAGAGAAAAAAGTCAACGTCCACTGTTTTCTAGTTGTACATGGAGCCTTGTCCTGCCTCATGTATCAAGAAAAATAACTCAAACTTTAAAGGGCAGGAGAAATAACAATACAATCTTGTGTTTTACAGGGCTGTTTTGAGGAAACTGCTTCTCAAACCTTAAAGCACTATACAAATGTAAATTGGTAATATACAGTGTATTAAATGACTCCAATTGAAACAATTTATGAGGTAGCATGTTATTTTAAATTGAGGAAACTGAGCTTAAGAGTGCTTTAGCAATTTTAGCAAAATATATGTGCCCAAAGTCACACCATTAATAAGTGTAAAATATGGGACATGAACTAAATGGAACTTCTGACTTCAAGTCTAGTATTCTTTCCACTAAATAAAAATACATATAACAAAGGAAATAGACTTTTTTTTTTTCTATACAGTTCTAAAGAGCATAGCTAGAAAAATAGGTAGAAGTTCTAGGAAGGCTGTTTTCAGCTCATTATCAAAGAAGGCTACAATTAGAGCTGCTTAAAATCAGACAGGCAGACACACAAAACATTAGACCTCATAAAAGATCATCTATTACAAAACCCTCCTTTTGAAGATGAAGAAACAGACTTAAGGGGTCCTTCTCCTGAACAAAGCTCATAACTGTACTTTTACTTTTGGTTCTCTTCTCTCTTCAGCCGATCCTAACAATCAACCTCTCCCTCTACTACTCTTCTCTCTCCCCTGATCTACCAGTTTAATCCCTGATACTTACAAACCTACCCAGGTCTCCCTTCTGGCTGTAAAATCCTCTCAGCTGACCACACTATTCCCTCCAGCTATAATCACCTCTTTCCTCCCTTTCAGTCAAACATAGAACAAGCTTCCTATTCTCACCGCTTCCACATCCTTGCCTCTTTCCTTATTTCTCAACCCTTGACACCTCTACATATATATATACATATATATATGTCATCTCATCTCAACTGGGCCTGCACTGCTGAAGCAAGACAAACATTCTATTATTTCACACATGAATCACTATCCCACTTTCACCGGTAGATGTTTGAAGCATTCACAACTCTCCTTCAAGTCTCTCGATGGCAACCCCTCACATACTCTCTTAACCAAATAATTTACCTCATACTTCAATGAAAAACTTCAGTTCATTCACCAAGAGTTCACCCTTCTCATTTCACATCATTCAGACATCTTTCTCCACAATCTCCTCTTACCCTAAATCATTGAATGGGTGTTGCCTCAGACAAACTGAGACCTGGGAAAGACTTTTATCTTAGAAAGGCCAAGGTCTCCCACTGCATCTGGGGCTATCTCCAGTCCTCCTGATCTATATCTTACCACTGAACCCAGATCTGGAGGAGAGAGTGAGACTGTTGATTTTGCACAGTCCTGACTACTTAAGTTCAATTCATTTGCAAGTCATGACATCACCTTCTTGGTCCACTTCAACAATGAAGGACAAACAACAACAGATGAAGAGGTAGCCCTTCTTCTTGCCAAGGCAACCCCTCACCTCCCAATGCACCTTTGATCAACTCTTCTCAACTTCTCTAACACAAGAGCTTCCATAATCATCCCCATTATTTCTCTTATCTCCACTCTCTCCCCATATATTAGATCTTTCTCTACCACCTACAAACAAGTCCACATCTCCACCTTTAAAAATTTGCATTTGACCCAACTATCCTCAATAGCTATCTATACCATATCACACAATCATTCCAGATCTCTTCTTCTGAACTCCTCGATAAAGATAGCGGTCCCTGAGGTCTCCATTTCTTCCTTCACTCCATTCCAATACCTCTGACCTCATAATTCAACTGAAACTGCCCTGTCAAAAATAACCAATGATTTCTTTGCCAAAACCAATGGACTTTTCTCAAATCATTGGTCACTGTGTGCTCCCAGATACTCTTCTTCTAACTCTCTTATCTTCACTACTATTCCTTCTTAATCTCCTCTGTGGGTCTTCATCCATGTCAGGCCTACTAGTATCCTCCAAGGCTCTTGCCCTGGGTCTCCTTCTCTTTTTTTCTCTACGCTGTATCATTTGGCAATCTCATCAGCTCCCACGAGTTGAATTATTACCTCTATGCAAATGGTTCTGAGATCTGTATAGCCACCATTGCTGTCTCATTTGAGCCACACTCACATACTTCCAATGGCTTATTCCACATCTCACCTGGCTGTCCCATAGGCATCTCAAAGTCAACGGGCCGGAAACAGAAAATTCTCTTCCCATCTCCCCCAAACCTTACCAGTTAGTTTCCAAACTTTCCTATTACTGTCGAGGTTGTCACTATCCTCCCAGCCACCCAGGCACAGAACCTATGTCATCCTGGACCCTTTACTTACATTTACCCCACGTATCTCATGGGTTAACAAATCCTGTCATTTCTACCTTCATAACATCTCTTACATTCATCCCCTTCTTTCCATTCACATGACTGCAACCCTTGGTTCAGGCCCTCATCACCTCTTAGCAAGACTACTGCAATAGCCTTCAACAGCCTTCTAACTGGTCTCCTGGACTCTCATCACTCCCCAGTCTCCACTCTAATCCATGCTCTACTCAGATGCTAGGGTGATTTTTCTAAACCTTAGGCCTAAACCAAGTCACTCCCTTGTTCAAAGAACTCTAGTGGTTGTCCCTATTATCTCTACTAATATAAAAGTCCTGTTTGGCATTTAAAGCCTGTCATAATCAGGCACCTTTGCAGTCTTCTAAAATCATCTCTTAACCCCTGCTCCCCACCCCAACCCCCTGCCACCTCCCAACAATCCTACTGGCCCACTTGCATTTTTTTTTTTTTTTGAGGCAACTGGGGTTAAGTAACTTGCCCAGGGTCACACAGCCATTGAGTTTTGTCAAGTGTTGGAGGCCAAATTTGAACTCAGGTCTTCCTGACTCCAGGGCTGGTGCTCTAACCACTGTGCCACTTAGCTGTCCTGGAATGTTACCTTCAAAACTATCCTGTTTGTCTTTGTTGCCATCTGAACATTCTCAATTGAATATTTTAAAACATGCTTAAATGACCCTCTCTCTCTTTTTTTGGGGGGAGGGGGCATACACAACATTATTGTCAGCATCACCCCCCATCTGTTCCCCACCAAATCTATAAAACCAAAACCAAACAATTATATACTTTTAACAAGTAAGCATTGTCAAATAAAACAAATCCACATATTTGCCATGTCCAAAAATGCATGTCACATTTGGCACCTTGGGTCATCCCTCTATCAGGGGTGGATAGCATGTGTCATCCTCAGTCATCTGAAGCAGGGTAGTCACTGCACTGATCAGAGTTCTCAAATCCTCCCCAAGCTGATTTTCTATATAGTGTTGTTCCTATATAAAATGCTCTCCTGGTTCTGTTCATTTCACTCTGCATCAGTTCATGTAAGTCTTCCCAGATTTCTTTGAAACCTCCTTTTTGTCAATTTTTTACAGAAGAACTATATGTCACAGCACTCCAACTATTATTTGCTCGTCCCGTTCCTCTTCTAATTACAGTTCTTTGCCAAAATAAAAAGAGCTGCTACAAGGATTTTTGGTACACATGGATCTTTTTCTCTCATCTCTCAAGGTATGTATAGGCCTAGTTAGCAGCATAACTGGGCCAAAGGGCATGAGATTTATTCACTTTTTGACCATGATGCCTAATGGCTTTCCAGGGCCGAACCCATTCATGGCTCTGACGTGTACCAACGTGTGGTATATTATCTCACTGTTGTCATTTTCTTGATGAAACTCTGTTTCTCTGATATGTTCTTTGACCCATAGATTTTTCAGGATTAGGCTATTTAGACTCCAATTCATTTTTAATCCTTTCTTCAAAGGCTATTATTTTTATTTTCTGCACCTGTGAAGTTTTTATGCCTTACAGTATATGGTAAGTCAATTTCTGTAAATATGATGGGTACAGCTGAGAAATGTTTACTCCTTTCTGTTTCTAGAGGCCTAGTATATCTATGATTTGATTCAGATCCTTGGGCTAGGCTGACAGAGAAATAACATTTTTTCCCCCTAAAGCCACTTGTAAATCATTCTCTTAATAGACTAGACTCCAGAATACATCACTACAGATCAAGTTCACTGGAAAACACTTTGCAGACTCCACCTTGTTCTTTTTCTGCAATTTGGGCTCCTTTCTTTTCTCAAGTCCTCACCACACTTCTGTCCTATTATACGGTATGTTTCAAAGAAAGTCCACAGTGACTCAACAGTTACATCTGCCAGTTTTTTCAGAGCACTAGGGCAATGCTTTAAAAAATGGATTTCTGGAAGTAGAAATGACTGGAATTCTGGAAGGAAGTCAGCATTGCCTCTTAGTGTTTATGAGACAGAAGTCAAGAAAATTCAGACATTCTGTGATATGCACCCTGGATTTGGGGAAAGTAGATTTCAAAGGGCTCAGAAGAAAGATGGGGAGGAAGAAGTCAGCTTAGGAAGCAGGGCAGATGCTCAAGAACAAAGGGTAGTTCTCCTTGACTATGGCATCAAATTTGGAAGGAGTGGGAGAGGAGAATGTTAACCATAAAGCACGTTACCCATTTCTCCATTGTTCAGCTACTGGCAGAGCACAAGCTGATACACAGACTGAGCCTCAGTGCCAGGAGGGCCACGATATAGCTCTATGGCAAACACAATTTCTGCTTTTTCCATTCCCTTTGATAATTAACCAAAGCCTATCCTCTTTCTTGCCTCCCAAATGGGAACTGGCATGCATGAGGATATATCCATCCGTACTACACTAACTTTCTTTTTTTTGGGTGAGGCAACAAGGGGCAATAAGACTTGCCCAGGGTCACACAGCTAATGTCAAATGTCTCTGGCCAGATTAAAACTCCTCCTGACTCCAAGGCCTGACCTCTATCTACTGCGCCATTTAGCCCTTTTTTATTTTATTTTTTGGTGAGGCAATTAGAGTTAAGTGACTTGCCCAGAGTCATACAACCAGTAAGTGTCAAGTGTCTGAGGCTGGATTT